GACTGAAAGTGCCAATATACGAAACTATTATGACCAAACTATGAAATTTAAAATCTTTAAAATTCATAAAAATAATAAAGGTTCATTATTTCGCAGAGTAAATTACAGTTTTAGTCCTCATAGTTGGGTCAGTTTCGTACTTTTGGTCCAACTTTTAAAAAATGGATAATACACATCCTTGTGGTTTAAAGAAATTGCACTGTCCGTCCCTTATCCATATAAAAAAAATTTCTTACCCTTAAACATTTATTCTTCAATTTCTTTTAATTGATTTCCTATGATTTTAATTAAAAAACTACAAAAAAGAAAAAAAAACTCATCCACCTCACCCTCCCCTCATTAGTCACATCCACTCCACCTCCTATCAAGTCTTCATTTCCTTGCTCACATTTCTCTCCTTTTCACTTTCATCTTCATATCACCACCTGTCACATTACCATCATTGCCGCTATATCACACCATCTATACGTCATCGGCCCACCACTGCCGTTAGATCTGCTTTTGTTTAGCCTAAAACACCTCACCCACATCCCTCTTCGTGTGTGTGTATATATATATATATATATATATATATATATATAATATATATATATATATATATATATATATACTACTGTGTTTAAAATTATATATTTGATAAAAATAATAATTATAAAAAAAAATGTTTATTGTCGACTGTAAGTAATTCTGAATTAATTTGTTAAGTAAAATAAACATACTACTTTATCATATATTTCCAAAAATATTATTACGATAAAATTTTGTATTTTCAAAATTTTAATAAAAGTTGATTTGTTACAAAAAACGTGGAAAATGGTAGAAATCATAGAAAATATAGCACGTGTCACAGAGACACATGGTATATATATATATATATATATATATATATATATATATATATATATACCATGTGTCTCTGTGACACGTGCTATATATATATATATATATATATATATATATATATATATATATATATATATATATATATCAAGGTTGTGAAAATCGTTCGACAGTAGCTCGACGGTTGATTGGGGTCAAACGATTAATCGGGGAGCCTAAATTAATAATAAAACTATTTTAAAACTCAATATATTCTAAGAAAATTAGTATATGAAAATTTAAAATTTTGAAATTTTGAAATTTTAAAATTTTAAAATATTTGTTATAATATTTGCAAATTTGAATATTTAAAAATTCAAAATTTTGAATAATTGTAAATTTTGGTGTGATATTTGAAAATTTAAAATTTTGAATTTTTAAAAATTTAGCTGCCTAGGACCGCCGAGGAGCGTCGAGGACCGCCTAGCCCGAGCTTGACCGATGTTAATCAATTTCCGCCAAGCACCCTAACGGTAATCAGTTGCAGACCGCTTAACGCCTAGGCTGATACTTACAACACTGATATATATATATATATATATATATATATATATATATATATATATATATATATATATATATATATATATATATATATATATATATATATATATATATATCTATATATAGAGAGAGAGAGAGAGAGAGAGAGAGAAATTAAATATCCTACAACCTTTTAATCCTACCAATCCTCCTATCCATTTAAATGATGACATGTGTCATATTAGTATCCTAAAATATCATTAAATCTCATTAAATGAGCATTAAATGTTACACATATCATTATTACATTGGGTAGGAGGATATGTAGAAACAAAAAGTAGGAGAATATTTAATTTCTCATATATATATATATATATATATATATATATATATATATATATATATATATATATATATATATATATATCTTTTTAATATTTCGCTGGAAACCACCACCGGCGCCATCTTTATCCTCCGTTGGTGGTTTAGATCTACCAAAATCGACAAAAGGTTTAAACTTGACAATGTCAGATGTATATTTTCAAAGGCAATATTAGGTTAGGGGTTTTGTGGCCGGATCTATTTTGCAAACCCTTGTTCTGACGGTGTCTTTGACAGAACACATTGATGACGAGTGGTGAGGTGGTGTCGGCAATTATGGTGGATGTTAAAGGGACGACGAGATCTGCGCTTTTAGATTTGAGAGGGAAAGGCGTCCAGTAGAAAGAGGTGATTGGCAGCGGACGATGTAGATTGAATTGTGGTGTGATGGTCGGTGGTGAAGTTTTATTGGGTTAAGAAAAGAGCAATGGGGTGAGGGTGGATGAGAAAGAGGTGGTTGGCGGTGGCAAACGGTATAACATACTGAGTTAAAGTATGGATGTTCTTGAGAGTGTGTATGTGTTTTTGAGAGGGTGTGTGTATGTTCTTGATAGTGTATGTTTGTGTATGTTTTGGAGAGAGAGAGAGAGAGAGAGAGAGAGAGAGAGAGAGAGAGAGAGAGAGAGAGAGAGAGAGAGAGAGAGAGAGAGAGGTGGATAATTGGATGGGTGGTAGGTAGTGGGTACTTATGGTTTATATTTTCTAAATATAAAAAAAAAGTAAAATAAAAAGAAAAAAGAATTTAGGTAGGAAAAAGTAATCTTTTAATATATATGGAGAGACTAATCTCTCCAAACCAGAGGGATAAAACCTATTTATTTTTTAACTTAGGACCAAACCTATGAATTTATCAAGACACATGGACTAAAACTGTAACTTACTCTTATTTCACATATGCATTGTCTAATTGTAATATTTATACGACGTCGTTGCGAGAATATGTTCTGGTCGTTACTTCTACAACAACGGAAAGAAAGAACAAAAGAAGCAGAAACCAAGTGATCCGAGTTTACAGAGAGCTCCAATCACACTATACTTCCCAAAAATTCTAGGGTTCTTGTTTTCATTTTTCTCCAACTCAACAAAATGCGGATATCGACAAGCATACTAACGATCGTGGTTGTGATATTAGGGTTAATTTCATCACCTATGGTGAAGGGAATGAGGTTCGACATCAAAACAGGAGCCACAAAATGCATAACGGAGGATATTCAATCGTATTCATTGTCTGTCGGAAAATACAGCGTTATCAATCCCAATGAAGATTATCCGTTGCCTGATAGCCATCGTATCACAATCAGGGTTAGACCCCACCCCCACCAAATTTAATTGAAAGTAATTTTGTTTGATGTCGTATTAATCAATCTAGGGTTTCTTTCCTTATGATAACTGATTTTTGAGTGTTTGGATGTCCATTTCTAAAGTGATCAATTAGCTGCAAAAAAATGATTCAGTGTACAGTAGAAGGTTAGGTAAATTAAAATAAATATGTCAATTGAAATAGTTAGATTATTTCATAATTATCTTTAAATATTAGTTTCTTCATGCTTGAATCCAAATTATTAATGCTTGGGCTAAATGCAAAAAATCGCAACATAGTTTCATCATTTACCAACTTATGCAACATACTTTCTTAACAATTTAGTGTAACAAACTTATCAATTTTTACCATTTAATGTAAGTTGTACATCATATGGTAAACATGGTGATTTGTTATATTATATGGTTAAAAAAATGTTACATGAATTAATACATGCCCTCGACATATCTCAAAATATGATTATTTTGCCCTTGAAAGAATCATCATAACAAAATTATATTTTCCAAAGTCTGCAAAATTTATTATTGCCAACTTTTGGTTTTCTTGATATGTTGCAATATAGATAACATCGCCACTTGGGACCAATTGTCACTATGCGGATCAAAAAGCTTTTGGTGAATTTGCATATACTGCAAATGAGGATGGGGATTATATGGCATGTTTTTGGGTTGCTAAACAAAATCCACCTACAACATTAACCGTTGAGTTTGAATGGAAATCTGGTCTATCTGCAAAAGATTGGTCTAGAGTTGCTAAAAGAGGACAAATTGAGGTCAGTTTTACTTTTCCAATCTTCAACGTTATGTATAGGCAATTAACTTTTACGATCATATACAATTTTTAACATGCATCTTTTTTTTTTCAATAGATGATGGAACTTGACTTGAAGAAATTGTTTGATACTGTAAATCTCATCCATGATGAGATGTATTATCTACGCCGGAGGTAAGAAATTGTTTGATACTCTAATGATAGCATTGTACTTTCAATTTTTTTTTTGTTATTAGAATATTGTATTTTGTAAAATCTTTCCATTTAGCAGTTTTAGAAATAAATCAATGGAAGTACGTTACTAATTCTTGTATTAAATCTTTGGAATTCAGGGAGGAATCAATGCAAGTTTTAATTAGATCAACCAATTCAAAAATGGCGACTTTTAGCTTCTTTTCCCTCATTGTGTGCTTGGCTGTCGCTTCTATGCAACTATGGCATTTGAAGACATTTTTTGAGAAGAAGAAGCTTATTTAGACAATTAGACGCAATTTTCCATTTCATTTTTTTTTTATTATTCTCATAATATTCTTTTATTTTTTTTTATTGTTTTAATGTCGTGTGTTAAGGTTACAAGCTATTTCCATGACACAATTGGAAAAATCCCGTATGTAACGCTTTAAAGTAACTATGGGAAATGACAAATTCTTTAGTTCTAATTGTTTTATGTGTTTAGAAAAAACCAAGAGTTTAGTTTTAAAAACGAATAATATTATACCATTTTGGTATCAGGCTATTTCTGTAATTTTGACCAGCTTTGGACGACTTTGCCCTTGTACTTCAGGCCATTTTACCATTTTGCCCTTGTGTTTTTGTTCATGTTCTATAAACTTCTTCTGGAGAGTTAAATTGCAATGAGGTTGTTCTTTTTTTTCCCTTTTAATATCATTTTTGCGGTTAAAAGAAGGAAATGCACTTTTTCACATAAATAAGTTCAAACGTTTTTACTCTAATTTTAATACTTTCAGTTATAAATTATAATCTATTATCATGGACCTATTTCACAAAAAATTATGAGCTACCAAGGTTTAAAATAGCCGTTACAAACAACTTAGCAAGGTTATAACTTTTCAATAAAACAAATTAAATAAATTAATGAAAAATTACCATATTGGTTTCATCCATAAATGACTTTCCTTATTACAACCAAAATTTAAAACAAATTAGCCGTTACAATCTTCCTAAGATTTTACTACAAAAATCTAAAATCAAAACCAAATCTCTCAAAAGATTTCTTCAATTCATATCAAATGACTTCCACACGTTGTGCTGTTTGCAAGTATTTCAGGCGAAGATGTCCTTCCGATTGTATTTTCTCACCTTATTTCCCTCCCAATAATCCTCAAAGATTCACTTGCGTTCATAGAATCTATGGTGCTAGCAACATTGGGAAGATGCTTGAGGTAATCACAATCTTAAACATAATCTTTATCATATCTTAAATTTAACGTCATTTCAGAAAAAAAAATCATTTATTATTTTGTGGTTTTAATTAGGAATTACCCATGAAAGATCGAGCAACTGCGGTTGAGACATTGTACTATGAAGCTAAGTGTAGAATACAAGATCCAGTGTATGGTTGTGTAGGATTAATTCCATGGTTGCAACAAGAATTAAATATCGCACAAAGCCAATTAGCAAAAACAAGAGCCGAAATTGCTTTTCATTATGCTAATGCTACAACAGCTGAGCCAATACTGGGCTCGGCTGAGCAGTTGCTTCAACAACATGGTGTTGATCATGGTCTAGATGACCATTCTTATTCTTGGTTTTGGTAGTTAACACTTGTTTAAGTTTTGAGCTTTGGAATTTAAATTAATAAAAATCTCATCTTTATGTGATTATCATTTTGCAAACCCCAACTCAAAAAGTTGGGACTTTTATTAAACAAAACAATATTTCTAAACAAAACGATGCATGGTTTTACACAATGTGTAAAAACCAAAAGATTTGTTTAACATTCGTGTGTCTGGAACATGAATGTTATTGTACTTTATTCGGTAAAACAGCAGTTTCTAAAGAAAACGGATTTTTATTCATCATAGCGTCCACGATTTTGAAACAGGTTCCTATCATCATCACCCTGCAAAAGTTTTGTGCATGTTTTAGAAAAATGGAAACTATAGGGGGGAAATGAAAAATATTAAAGAAAAGGTTGATGGAACTCACATATCTATTGCCACGAGAACCATCGTCATCGTCATCATCACGCCTGCCGTACCTAGGTTTCCGATCATCATCGTCGTCGTCATTTCTTCTGCCATATGTGTTTCTCCGACCATCATCGTCATCATCATTTCGTCTGCCATATGTGTTTCTCCGGTCATCATCATCGTCGTTACGTCGACCATATGAAGGTTTCCTGTTATCATCATCATCCTCATCGTTACGTCCATAAGTATTCCGTCCACCACCATACTCACCACTGTCAGTCCTCCTACCTCCGCCCTGCCCAGATCCATACCCATCTAAATCGTTCTTCCGCCGATTCCCGGAACCATATTCCGAGCTTGGATTATCATACTCACTCCTTCCTCCATACCCCGATCCACTCTGCCGCCTGTGGCCGGACTCTTCGTCATCGTTCCTCCTCCCAATACCCGACCCACCACCGTATGAAGAATTGCCCCCGTGGGACTGGTAACTGGAGCCACCGGAACCGTAGCTGCCGGAGGAGGCTGACGACTGAGGGTAGCATATTTCATCGGAGGGAGGAAGAGGGCGGCCGAAGGTGAGGGTAATGTCGTATCCGCCGCCGTATGGGGTTGGATCAAACTCGTCGAAATCATCGACGTCTTCGTCTTCGTTGGGGTTATAGCGGTGGCCTTTCGCGTAATACGACATCGTTGGTTGGTTGCTTCCGGTGGAAACTAACGACGGGAGGAGGTGACGTATATATGCTAGGTCTAAGGGGAAGATGATACGCTGTCGTTTTGGCTCGAGCATGTGGGACCAGTCGATGGTTAACTAACTTGCGGTTTTTGTGGGTCCGCTTCTTTTACGTGGTTGAAATGTTCTTATTTCACCCCCTGTTTTATGCTTAAATACCAAATTGATCATCATGAAATTGTGAAATTGCAAATGCTACTAATAATTTTTTATTTTTATCAAAATGGTCCATAGACTAGGATGTACTGTTTTCAAAAGTCGCAGTTGGATGTGTATTTTGTGAATCACTTTGTGATATTCAGCAATCATTATCCAGTTTAGATGTAGTATAGTACTATGAGGTTTAGCTTTATCGAATATTATTAACTAAGAAAAATATATAAACATCAAGATACATACTTTACTAATTACTCTTAGTGCATTTTATTGTTACTAGTATGGATTTGATTATTTTATCAAAGATGATTGAATAGTTTTCACAACATACATCCAAAAGACTTATATTTTGTTACTCATATACATTTTATATATAAATATATAAAGATAGTATAATCCATTTGATTAAAAGCAAATTATCAAATAATAAGTTCAAAATATCGGAAATTCCAATGAGGAAAGAGGGACATGTGTCTATGAAGTAAAGCATAAGTTTTGACCAAAATTTGTTTTTGCCGATTGTTTGTAACATTCCAAAAATTCAACACCAAAAATTTCATTTTTGATTTAACGATTCATAAAACATATTATAGAAAACATCATCAAGTTATCTCACTTTATAAAAAATCAATAGATCATATCAAAAGCATGTCATAAGATAGTAGCAATGTCAGAGTACAAATCCCAAGAATCTCATATGCGGAAAATTGTGTGTGTGATGCGTTGCTACCGTGTCGGATCCTTCCCTTTGAAGAAGAATGACCTGAAACAAAAACTGAAACTTAAGCACAAAACTTAGTGATTTCCCTCATCATACCACATACCATACAATAAACATACTGCCAGGCATATCCGGGTGTCCGGCCTACTCTGCTGAGCATATCTGGGTGCTCAACCTACCCTCGTCAGGCATACCGGGGTGCCCGACCTACCCCTTGTCAAGCATATATGTGTGCTCGACCTACCCTGTCAAGCAAATCTGGGTGCCCGACCTACCCTTCGTTTTATTCCAACCGGCTACGGGGACTATTTCACCCCTACCACTACCATATAAAAACATGGCATAACATACAGTCAGGCATATCTGGGTGACCAACCTACCCTGCCGGTATATCTCAACCGGGTCCGGGGACTAGGTCCCTTCCTACCACTATCACATAACATCATAGCATACTAGCACAAATAGCATATCAGATAGTGGCATATCAGACAATTATCACAAAGACAATCATCTCTACTATAATCAACTACTAGTGGGCCGACATTGGTGCCTTCGACCCACTTCTACTGGAAGGTAACTCACCTCAATGTCGCGTAGTAGCTGAATTGTCCTCAACTCTGGGATCAACTCCTCTCAAACTCCTACACATAACAATCTCCTTTAATTACCCTTTCATACTCTTAACCCCTTTAAGGGTCAACTCTGGTCAATGGTCAATGTCAAAGTCAACATCCTGGTCAAAGTCAACATCCTGGTTGACTCAACTCGCCGAGTTGGTCCATCAACCCGTCGAGTTCCATGATCCATAACACCCTGAAATCTCGATCCTACTCGTCGAGTTCCCATTCATACAGAGTCGGGACATTTTGCTCACAACTCGCCGAGTTCCTCCTTGAACTCGTCGAGTTCTTCTATCTTCAAACACAAAAAACATGTCCAACTCGCTGAGTCATCTCCTAGACTCGACGAGTTTGGCCAGTAACAGAAAAGGTTGGGGAACCATGACCCAACTCGCCGAGTTTCATGAACAACTCGTCGAGTCCCCCATAGTCTAAATCCATTCAGTCGTTTCTAGTCGGGTTTAATGCTTCCAAACCATAGATCTGGTCCCCTAGGGTCGATATATCACGTAAAGTTACTAACTTTACGTCCATGGATGGGTTATTTAGCTCAAAAGGCTCTAAAAGGTGGTTCACAATTTGCATGGGACTCCTATGGCCATAAAGTTGGCACCTTTATGCCATGAAGTCCCTCAACGACTCTAGATCTGAAGGTTCTTTCCACAGGGGATATCCAAATCTCAAAGGCCACCATTATTGAACCAAAACATGGAGAAAAAGCCCTAAAACTAGATCTAAACACTCAATAAGCAAGGTAAGAGCTTTATACCTCAGGTGAACCAGAAATGAAGCTCTACTTCTGGATCTACTCTTCTCTTTCACTTCCTTGCTCTTTCCTCAAGTCTCCTCTTCTTCAAAACCTCACGAAAGTACCAAGAATGGCTCAAAACACTCAAAAACGTATTAGGGTTTCGTAGCTAAGGTTTGGGGTGATGGAGGCTGCAAATGAGGCCACCCTTTGGAGGTTAAGGTGCTTAAATATGGTGCAAACCCTAAAAATTAGGATTTCACTCTGGCAGCCCTACTCGTCGAGTTAAGGCTTCCCAACTCGTCAAGTAGACTTCAAGTCCCACGTCCAAAATCCGTTTCTACTCGACGAGTTTGGGGCCTCCAACTCGTCGAGTCCCTTTTGCCAAAAATGAATAATTTGGTTTAAAATACATACCAGGATCCGGGCGTTACAAATCTCCCCCGGTTATTTTAGACTTCGTCCTCGAAGTCTGCTGCGTTTGGGAAAAGCTCTGGGTAGTGCTCCCTCATCTCGTCCTCCGACTCCCAAGTCCATTCCGAGCCCTTGCGGTGCTGCCGTTGCACTTTCACTAACTCGACCTTCTTGTTCCTCAGATCCTTCGTCTTCCTATCGAGGATGGCTACCGGCCGCTCGATGTAGTTCAGGCTGTCGTCCACCTGAATATCCTCTAGAGGTACCACCACAGAGTCATATGCTAGGCACTTACACAGCTAGGGGACAAGAAATTTACTGTGGATCTGACTAAGCTCGGCTGACAGATCCAACCTATACGCCACCTTGCCCACCCGGGCTATAACCATGAAAGGAATAAGGTACCTGGGGCCCAACTTGCCCTTCTTCCTGAACCGGATGACACCTTTCCAAGGTGACACCTTCAGGAGAACCATATCTCCTACCTGAAACTCTAGGTCCAAACGACGCTTGTCGGCGTAACTTTTCTGCCGACTCTGAGCAGTCTGAAGCCTGCTCCGGACCTGCTAGATCCTCTCTGTCGTCTTGAGTACCACCTCGGTACTCCTTATGACTCTCTGCCCCACCTCACCCCAGCATATCGGGGTTCTACACTTCCTCCTATATAACATCTCGAAGGGAGGACGGTCGATACTCTCGTGGTAGCTATTATTGTAGGAAAACTCTGCTAAGGGAAGGTAAGTATCCCAGCTACCACCAAAGTCTAGGACGCATGCCCGCAACATATCCTCCAGAGTCTGGATGGTCCGCTCGCTCTGACCATCCGTCTGCGGGTGAAAAGTCGTGCTAAAGTGCAGACAAGTACCCAAATCGTCGTGAAACTTCTTCCAGAATCTAGAAGTGAACCATACATCTCTTTCAGAAATCACGAAGACTGCCACTCCGTGTCGAGCTACTACCTCCCTGATATATATATGTTAGCTAGTTTCTGAACCATACATCTCTTGGTCAACCTATCCACGTCGACCCAAATCGAATCCACTCCCCGTGCGGTCCTGGGAAGCTTTGTGATGAAATCGATAGTAATATCCTCCCATTTCCACACAGGGATATCCAACGGCTGCGTCTTGTCGTGAGGTCTCTGGTGCTCTGCCTTTACCTTCCTACAGGTCAGGCATCTCTCGATGTACCAGGCTACATCCCGCTTCATGCAGGGCCACTAGTAATTAG